TAGTCTTTCGTTGTAGTACTTAGGGAGAACCCTTGACCCTCGTAAAGCTGTGAGCTTATTACGGACTTTTTGATGTCCTTCCTTGCCTATAATTATCCGTACTTGCTTACCTCAGCGCCCTTGTGCTTGTACGGTTGCTTCTAAACTGATATTTTTACTATCTTCCCAGTGACACTTTCTTTTATCCCCGTAACACTCATACAGTACCTTTAACTACCCTGACTCTTGTTTGAATGTATCTCGAGTATTATAATGGTATTCTTTGAGGCTGAATTCTCCATGTTGGGTTCTACTATGTTTATCTTACACGATCTGATGACTCGTCTGTAACCTCATATTTAGCCATAACTGGGATATTCTTGACCAATTACGAATTACTCATTGTCCCATTCTCATATCAATATTCCTCGTAATCTTTCTTAGGTTATTTCCTTTGTCTTAATTTATGTCCCGCACTGGCTCCTTATTTATTAATAACAGCTTGGACAAGAACCTTTACTTCCTCTCCTTGACGTCGTGCTTGCACAATATTCTTGAATCGTAGCATATCTGTAAGATTTGGATAAGTGCCATCTCATTCCTCTTTCATTTATCGCATTCTTCCTTTATCATTCCATAGTCACTAGAACCACTTAATTCTGACTTTATGCCACATCACTCCATATTCTCCCCTTTAGGGGTGCACTAAGAACTGAAGCCACGAGGATCTACCTATAGATGTTTTACCTCTTCATCTTTGGCGTCGTTCCTCAACATCAATGATACTTACTCGCCTTGCGGCAATCCTTCTGTACCAAGGATGACAAATCCCCTTACTCGTGAGGGTGACACTTAATGTAACTAGTACATACAACCCCTTAAGCTTAACTTTGCTAACATTGCTTGCTTTAGGGAAGCATTTTACTGAATTACCATTCTCTGAATTTCTCATGAAACTTCTTCTGTTGTCCGTCCTATTATTACTGGAATGCGATCTGATATTCTCATGATGCTGACTATTACCAAATCACTCAGTCCCTAATTCATATTTAGTTTATCTTATTCACCAGCCCATACTGATTTCTATTACTCTGGGGTCTAACTTTTCCTCTTGGTAATCGCGCTAGAGTTGCGGACTTATTTCTCGAAATGAGGACATGACTGTATGGCCTATACTCTTTTGTTGTCCTAAGGCCTATCACCCCTTGTCTGTTCCTTCACTTGACTATATATTTTGTAATATTGTCATCTTTTGATCTACCGTTGTCATCCATGTACCACATCTTACTCATAATGCTTTATTAACTCTTTTCTTATTTCCCGCTAACATTTATGCCTATCACTTTATTCTGAAAACTCGAACAAGACATTCTTTTTCTTTTAGCTTCCCTTTGCTCCCTTCCGTGGCTCTTCAAGTTGCTTAACGATCTCGCTTTACTAGGGACACGAGCCACACTAAGGTAATATATATCCCTTCAAGGCTTATAGTGCATGTCTTTATAGTACTCATATCTGACTGCACTATTTTAAAGTGTACCATCTGGGTGTCTCACAAGGAGATCTATTAGCACATTTGCAATATCCTTCGGAAATGTCAACTGTCACAAACAATTCATCCATCATATCTTCTTATACTACTTCTATTAACCCCTATATGGCATATCCGGAATGGGTGCGACCAATTGTATGTACCTTTGTTACTATTGAATATAACTCAAAAAGCTTATGTTCCTCTGCCTCAATTATAAATGTTGTTAACCTTCATTAACTGGGTACCTCATACGCTTTTTTCACCTTGCTCCTTTTACTTACTGAAACTTGTACTTATCTTCTTAATCTCTCATTGTCCTTCATCATAAAGATGGATAAGCATTCTTGCCTTAAGGCTTCTTATTAGGAAGCTTACACCTTTCAGTATACCCATAATCTGCTAGAGACCTCATATTTACCTATCGTAGGCATCATACAAAAATCCAGTTCCTCTGACTCAGCTCTTCCACAACTATCTCTCTTTCCACCCTTCTTTTCGGATGTCGGCATCGTCTTATTACAAATAAAATAGAATTTTGGAATTTGAATTCTTATAAGTGAGTTATACCATACGATCTTGAGTAAGAAGAAAGAGTGACAATCCTAAATGCCCTATAGCCTCCTACTTATAAGTGTGGTGCGCGACACACCCATAAACAAGACTCTACTAGACACGGCTTGTAGACTCCCTAGGACAGAACTGCTCTGATACCACTTTTGTCATGCCCCGAACCTGGGGGAGAGACTGGCACCCAGTGCCCCACCTATCCTTGCGTACCAACTTGCAACTAAGGGACTCTGAACATATGATGTCATACTTTGGCTGTGGGCCACATTGCAATAACTGCGAATGCTGACTAAATGTCAATATATAACTGGGCCGACAAGGTCGTCATAACTATTACAACTGACAAATCAACCAAATATTGTACTAACTGACAGGTTATGTCCACAAGCCTCTACTAATGGATATACTGTGATCGGAACAACTCCCTGACCTACTTATATATATATATACAAGATGTACATAAGGATCTAGATCCGAAAACTCCGAAAGGCATGAAGCTTACCGATCAAGCTGAACTCGGGCAACACTTATTGAAGAGGCCTACCCGTCTGTCTGTCTGACCTGCACGCATGAAATGCAGCGCCTCCAGAAAAGGAACCTCAGTACGAAATAATGTACTAAGTATGTAAGGCAATATACTAAAAGTTGAAACTGAATTGATAATATAATAACTGCAAGTAGCTGGAAGTCAAAGATAATCTAAAGATATACTTACCTGCTGATACTGACTCAACTCTCTCAATATAGTAAATAAAATAGTTGTCCGGCCCTATAAGGCTCGGTATATATATAACTGCTCTGCCGTAGTAGGCTCGCACATAAGCGCTCGACCATAGTAGGCTCTGTATCTCGAACAACTGGGCTCGCTCATAAGCGCTCGACCATAGTAGGCTCGGTATATAACTTACCATCTGATCAGAGGTTGCCCAATAGAGGCCTGCCCATCGATTATAGCTCGATGGTAATGAAAATACTTTTAATATTGTATATATGTAAACTCTCTGCTCTTTTTACCGGAAGAAGGAAACACCCAACTGAATATGAATTCCTCATAAGGAGAATATGGTAATTTACAAAACTAGAGAAATATACGTAACTTGCGAGACTAGTAAAATATACACAAATTCCGGGATATGAATTTTTCTTTATGCCTTGTTATCAAACTTGTATAATGACGAGATCATGCCAAAATGAAGGAAGAGCTTAGCCTTAACATACCTATTCTAGGAATTATTCGAACGGATCTACTTCTGCAAAATGTGGACGAAATTCACACTTGGACGAACTTGTTCTGCTTTGCTTCCAACATTTTTGAGCAAAACAGAAATGAGGTTATTCTAATTGTTGAATCTTTGAAATTTCACTTTGAACTCTTTGGTTAACAGTTCTTTTGGACAAAAAGGAATGTTCTCTGGTTCTCACATTTTTTTGGTTCAAAATCAGATTGTAAAAATTGTTGTTTTATTTTTTTTTTCCAATATAAGAATCTTTATAGATAAGACTTTGTAATTTAGTCTTGACACATGTAAAGGTGATTTATGACTCACCTTAAAACTAAGAATGGGCTGCCACGTCCCTTGGTATGATCTTGTTAATTTTATCTACTTATTAGTTAATCGGGTAATGTCTCGTTATCCGATAATTAACCAATTACCCGCATAATTTAAAAATTACCCCAAATTACTTAAAATTCTATTTATTACTAAAATACTTCATATATACTTTATATGTTATACTACCGTGGTCATATGGTACCTTGCATGGTACTAGTCCATAAATATTGGGTATTTCTCGGGCCGTATTTTACCCCAAAATGCCAAACTTGAACAAAATTTATTTTCTTTGACTTGCTCCCCCTTTTCACCTTCATGAATTTACTAATCACTTGTGAAATAGCATAATCCTTATGATTTCCAAATAATCTTTTACTTGGACTGATGTCAATTACTTTATAACAAATTCAACGTACAATACCTCAGGGTGCAACATCGTCGTAACTTAATACCACAAAGCGTAACATCACCGCAATCTATATTACTGCAGAGCATAACATCGACGTAATACTGCGGAGCGTAACAAGCACCATCTCGGGGTTGGGCATACTCGACTTCGATACTCATTTCGTACTTCGATTCTCGGGCCTTGTACTCTTTCATCGGGCTCGAGCTTGGTCTATCAAGCTCGAACTCGACCCATCCTGAACTCGAACATAAGACGATCCCTCGAGCCCATGAAATCAGATATACCTAATTTTAATCATATACAAGGCTATATATTGATTTCAGGGTAGTTTGTCCAACAAATGATGGAGAGGTGGTGACGACACAGATGAAATATAGAAGAAGAATTAAAAAAAAAAGGAGAAAATTATTATATTTAAATATTTACACGTTCAACTCCCGGTGAAAATAACTTTTTGTGTCACATCTTGGATACATGATGCTTAATAGGCACATATTGGATGTACCAAAGGTGTCTAATGGTTAACAGTCCTAATTGAGATTCAAATAAAAAGTTATCACAGCTTTAAAAGCTCTTTTCGATAAATTTTACTAACTAATTAATTATATAGTTGTTACCATCTATAATCTTGTCTTTTATCCTCTCAAAAAGCAAATACCTTGAGTGGATTAAGAGAGGGAGAAAGTGTACAACTCGTGAACCAAACAGGTAAATGTGGATTGAAAGCAAAAGATGGGAACTCAATTGTAATTTGCTCCTAAATCCTACGTAAACGGAATACGTATTCTAATACAGTCAACTTTGACTGCAAAGCGCATTTCATCAAAACAACATTAGACGGAATCTTCAATAATTAGCAAAGTGAATGTCAAAACCGATATTTTAGGCAAAAATCAGGGCAGTTTAATTAATCGTCTTTGAACTCCAACTATAACAGTTACATTCTCCGCTGTCACATTCCTGTTCAGCTCATCACATTTATTATATCTTCTCTTCCCACTTGCACATTAAGCAAACACAACGAAAAGCTGAGAGACAGAGAAAGATTTTAAAGACAATGCAGGTGAGTTTTCCATTTTCATGGCGGGATTTGAATTTTCTTCTTTTCTCACTGTAAACTGAATTATTTTTAACTTTTTCCTGGTAAATTTATGTACTTTTAGGAGGTAAGAACAGTACGGGTAGGTAATGTATCAGATCTGGCGACCGAAAGAGAAGTTCGCGAGTTCTTCTCGTTTTCCGGCGAGATTGAGCGCATTGAGATTCGGCGGTGAGTAGCTTCATCTTTTCTGCAATGTTTCGTGAGGTTTAAACACTTTAAACAGTATATTTGAGTTCAAGTGTTCCTTTTTTGACTAATTTTGGTGTGGAGTGCAGAGAACAAGGACAATCGAAGACTGCGTTTGTTACATTTAAAGATCCGAAAGCGCTTGAAATTGCCTTGTTGTTGTCGGTAATTTTCATCTTCTTAACTTATAGTCTATACTTGCTTAACCGTGTATGTTTTTATCTTTCAAGCTATTCGTACATGAGTTTTTTCTAACCACTGCTGTGTACAATTACCCTACCATGTACATGTAACTCTTTATAATAAGCATTTTATTGGTAAAAAGAGGGCAACCTGGTGCACTAAGCTCCCTCTGTGTGGGGGTCCGGAGAAGGGCCGGACCATATTGGCTCTTGCCTTGCCGTTTCTGCAAGAGGCTGTTTCCACGGCTTGAAATAGTGACCTCCTCGTCACACGGCTGACAGTTTTTACCATGGTGCCAAGGCGCCCCTTCAATAAGCATTTATTGGCAGCTTGAATAAAATGGTAACAAACTTACTATAACTTGTTAAACTAAACCGAGAGTGTAATTTTCTTTTAAACTGTTAAATCCCTTCTATGTTGGTGCATTAAATGATTTAGCAGCATTACAGGGACAGTTGATTAAAGTTGAATAATGCGTGCAGATTATGACAGATAGATCTTAATACGAAGTATGACCTTGTGTAGCATCATTAATCCATGGAAATTTAAGGAGGTGTAGATAGTAAATCTGAGATTCTGTTTTCTTTTGCTAATCTTTTGTCTGATGGAGAAAGTACAGGTAGGTTTTGCCACTAAACATGGAATGTAGGCTCAACTATACATCAGTGTGTTTTTCAGCATTTCTTTTGGAAATTCAACAGTTTACAAATTATCCAACTGTTACCTATATTTGTATTTAAGTTTTAAATAACTTGACAATATAATTAATTCTTGTATATAAAATCTTTATGAAATATATCAACTTAGCCTATGTAAATGATGCTGACTCTTTGTTAGATATGATTGGGGAGTTGCACAATATGTAAATTTAGACGCACTTTCTTAGTGCTGTCCTTTCCATTTATAAAATTTACCTTACTTATCAAGAAGAAACAATCTTTATGAAATATGATGAGTATATGACAACCTCCCCTAATCTGCTTGTTACTTTTGTCCAGTGATTAATGATGCCTACTCGACAGTGTTCTGAAGTTGCTTGATTTCAATATAGAGAACAAATGCTATAGTACATCAAAAACTTGATATGCCATTATTCTTCGGAAGCTAATACAGCACATGGAAATTGGTTTTATGTGTATTCCCTGCTACTGATTTGTTAGAATTGCTCGTTTGCAGGGTTGAGTACCCTTACAATTCTACTCATTTTGCAGGGAGCAACCATAGTGGATCAGATTGTAAATATTACTCGGGCAGAAAACTATGTTCCACCATCCGAGTCTCGGGTAATAACTACATAGACAAGTGTGAAAGTGTTATCTCTTAACATATAATTGCATAAATCAGTTACGGACATATAATAATCTAGAAATACCTATATTGGAAATTTATGTAGTCTACTCGTTGCTTACAGGAAGTCAGGATAGTTGATAATGCAGTGAATGTGGCCGGAGAAAGTTCCTCTCCACTTGCTGAGGTAACAAAGTAAATAAAGCTGGATAATTCTTCTTTTGAGTTATTAAAATGTTGGGCATATTTTGCCCACAAGATCATAAAAGTTGCTGTCTCTAAGAGAGATTTTAGATATGGAAGAACCATATGCAAGTATTTTGTGGTGTAGGATTCATGTATTATGATTTGTCCTTCGATGCACGTTGCAGGCATATATTTGTTTTCGCCTGTGTATTTATTGTTGGCTCTTTTCGGCTTTATAGTATTCTGTGTTACTTGTATCATCTCTTGATCACTTGTCTCTGTTAGCAGGCCAAACCTACTTCTCCTAGCAATGCAAGGGTGAATGGGAAAGTATATATCAGCAAAGCACAAGATGTTGTCTCAAATATGTTGGCAAAAGGTTCAGCTATCAGACAAGATGCGGTGAATAAAGCCAAGGCATTTGATGAGAGACACCAATTAAGAGCCACTGCATCTGCCAGAGTCGTTTCCTTTGACCGAAGAGTTGGTCTAACAGAAAAGCTTACGGTTGGAATTTCAGTTGTAAATGAGAAAGTTAAATCTGTTGATCAAAGGCTTCAAGTGTCAGATAAAACGATGGCTGCAGTTATGGCAGCCGAACGGAAATTGAATGACACAGGATCAGCGGTCAAATCAAGCAGGTCTGGATTCTTTAAAGTGTTTATGTGATTCAAATCAGTTATTTTAACAATGCCAATTTTTTCTGTAGTTGTTGCCACAGTTAGTTCTTAGTGTTTCTACATTATTACTTGCTGTCTTTTGTTTCTTCATTTGCTTCTAATTACTGAGATATTCTCCTGAGAGAATCGTGCATGCTGTTAGTGGCTATATAAGCTGAATTACCCTACATTTTGAACTAGAGAAAGGAATAGGAAGTAAGGGAAAATTTACAATTATCTACTCTTGTTTATTTGTTAAAAGAGGAGGAAATAACGCAAGAGGGCTACCAGTTTTCCCCCTTGGGGCCACTTATTTAAATTGAGAGAAGGGAACAGCATATATTTTCCTTTCCTCACAACATTCTGATAAAAGCAAAGAAAAAAAAAAGAAAAAAGAAAATATTTTTCTTATACATTCCATGCTTTGCCATTTATCATTCCCTTCTGTAGTCAGGTTTACATCTTATCTCATTGAACACCAGAGTTTGGATTGCTTTGTCAGCAGATTTCTTGATTTGACATCTGAGAGAGCATTGGGCATTGAACCATTGCTTTGAATATTACTGCTACATTTTATGCATTATCTAGTAGGGGGCCTCGTAACATCTCCTAAAAAAATTTCAAACTCTTGTTAAATTGCGAGTCCTGCTACCATAATTAGTAGCTTTCCCTATTAAAATGAATTCTTCAAACTTTAGGTTTTGCATAGCTTACTGATCAAACACCGATGAAGTTGAAAATTAGGCATTTTTTTTTTTTTTTTTTTGATAAGGTGACATATTTCTATATATAAAGTAGACTACACAAAAGTTGTGTAGTCCCCCATAATTACAAGGTGGGATACAGGAGAAAATTCTCTAATCCTTTGTCATCTCACAAGGATTCTAAAACATCAAAAATTGATTCATGATCTTCTAAGTACTCTCCTTTACACCAAAAATAGAAAAGAACTAAACACTTCATTTTAATCTTCTGAATACTGCTCGACTTATCTTCAAAGCATCTTTGATTTCTTTCTTCCCATTTTGTCCACCAAATGCAAGCTGGGACAATTCTCCATCTCTCTTTATGACTGGATTGGTTCCCTTCTCTGTTCCAGCAGGCTAGAACTTCAGATATTCTTCTTGGCATAGCCCACAAGATTCCTCTTAAGCTGATGAATATTCTCCATAGTTGTATAGTGATTCTGCAGTGCAAAAAGAGATGATTGATTGTCTCTGCCTCCTCCCCACATAAGTAACATCTAGAACATAGCTGGTAACCTCTTTTGATCAAATTATCCTGAGTTAGAACTGCCTCTTTCGCCAGTAGCCATGAAAAACAAGCAACTTTATAGGGAATTTTAACTTTCCAAATCAACTTCCATGGCCAGCATCCTATATGATTATTTGAGTTGTTGAATTCCTTGTAGGCTGCTTTAACTGAGAACTTTTGTCTCCCATTCCGTTGCCATGTCATGCAGTCTTCAGAGGTAGATGTTCCTTTGAATTGCTCCAGTGTTTTGTAAAACTCTATGAATCTGTCAATCTCCCAATCATTTATTAGTCTTCTAAAAGTCAGGTTCCAACCTTGATCTGACCAAACCTCACCTACTGTAGCTTCTTTCTGCTGGTTCAGTGTGTAGATGTCTGAGAAAAGGTGTTTCAATGATCCTTGACCTAACCAATTGTCTTCCCAGAAAGATATTTTCATACCGTTTCCCACTCTGAAATTTGACTTGTTTATTAGTTTAGGCCAAAAGTTCCTGATAGACTTCCATAGGCTGACCCCATAGGGATTTCTCCCAAGCTTTGTTGTCCATTTTCCTGCCATACCATATTTTTCTCTAACTACCTCCTTCCATAAGGATTGTTCTTCTGAGGCAAATCTCCATAACCATTTCATCATCAAACTTTGGTTCTGTACTCTTAGGTTCTTGATTCTTAACCCCCCTTCCTTCTTGTTAACTGTAAGGGAATTCCATCCGATCAAATGGATTTTCTTTTTATCACTGTTGCCTTCCCATAAAAAATTTCTTCTCAAGGCATCTATTCTGTTCACTATGCTTACTGGCATAGGGAATAAGGACATCATATATGTGGGTAAAGCATCAAGAACTGAATTTATCAGAATTAGTCTTCCTCCCATAGACAAATACTGATTCTTCCAGTTGGCTAGCTTCTTCTCACATTTCTCGAAGACCCCATTCCATATCCCTTTTGTCTTGCTTTTGGACCCCAGTGGCATCCCCAAATATACCGTGGGCACAGAGTCCCAATATTGCCTCCAAGAATGACAGCCAAATTTTGTAAGTCACTAATCTCATTGACTGGATAAATGAAACTTTTATGCCAGTTAATGTGTAATCCAGAAGTAGCTTCAAATAGAATAAATATAACCCTCAGCATTTGCAGTTCTCTATCCGCTTTACAGAGTACCAAGGTATCATCTGCATATTGTAAGTGGGAGATCTCCATATTGCTTCTACCCTAGAATTCACCTTGAAGCCCCTTATCCAATTATTTGATTGAGCAGTCTTCAGCATGTCATTCAAGGCTTCCATAGCTATGATAAATAGAAAGGGAGACAATGGATCACCCTGTCTGAGACCCCTCTGAGATGGAAAAAACCCAAAAGGGGACCCATTAATCAAAACTGAAAATCTCACAGTGCTAATGCAGTACTTAACCCAAGCCACCCATCTACCACCAAAGCCCATCTTCCTCAAAGTTTCCAGCAGAAAGCTCCAGTTCAGGTGATCGTAAGCCTTCTCAATATCTAATTTGCATAGTATACCAGGTTCCTTGCTCAAAATTCTTGAATCAACACATTCATTGGCAATTTAAATGGCATCCATAATTTGTCTGCCCCTGATAAAAGCCATTTGTTGATTATCCACCAACTTGTGTATCCCTTTCTTAATCCTCCCTGTCAGCAATTTGGAAATGATTTTGTAAATACTTACTCCTACTTGCTGAAGAAGGATCAGATTTCAAAAACTTCAGTTGGTTGAGGAGGCAAAGATCATCTTGATTTGATCTTCTGTGATAACATCTTATAAAAATGTGTATGGCCACTCACTTTGCCTATCGTTGTGCATTTCCTAAAAAAAAAGGGATAGACTAAATATAATGCATCTCCCAAATAGAAGATCGAGTGAGGGGGAGAACTAGCTTGAAGAACCAATAGCTTGAATGAAATTGCAAAATCTAAAACAAAAATAGACATCCCTGAGACAAGAAAAGATCGCAAGGAAATGGATAATTTCTGATGGAAACTCGATCTGGTTCAATGGTACGATCGAGGGAGTTAAATTGGAATACTTGCACAGATCACTTGATCTTGATTTTCTCATTAATTGTTTTGGAGTTAGGGGGTAGTGCTTGTTTATATTATGATTTTGTTGTTTTCTGCTCTCATTCAATTTCCATAAAGATGTGAGAGTCCCTCTATCTTTAAGTGGACCTTTTTCTCTAATAATTGCACTTCGGTTTAACCATTTGTACTCTAGTGGCAAGCATAAAGTGTTATTATTATAATATTACTAAAGCTCCACATTTCCATTATTTTGGAGCTGATCAGGTATGTTAATGCCGGAGCTGCCTGGTTGAATGGTGCTTTTACTAAAGTAGCTAAAGTTGGGCAAGTTGCTACTACAAAAACAAGAGAAAAATGGAGTTTTGCATTGTCAAATTTGACAGCAAAGGTATGGTTTTCCTCGTTTCTCTCCTCTCCTGTAAATTTTTAAGTCTACCTTTTGTCTATCAATTCGTTTTCATTATCCTGATCGTTTAGATCACAAACAACGATAGAAGAACATATGAAATGAAATATTCTGATCGGTGGGATAATATTGAGTACCTTCATCGAGAGTCATGTTATAACGAGGACATATGCTTTTTGCTCTTTTAGTTTATTCTTATTTTGTCTTATTCTTGGATGTCTATCACTATCTGATGTTGCTTCTGCTTCGGTTTGGTTACTATCTCGCTGTTGTTACTGCTTTTTCCATGACTTTTTCATTACTATATTTCTTTTGCTTTATTACTGCGTCTATGCTGGCCTGAGCTGAGGGTCTATAACAGCCTTTGTAAGGTCTGCGTACTCCCCAGACCCCACTTTTGGGATTCCACTGGGTTTTTTGTTGCTGTTGTAGTTATTGCCATAATATCACGTCTAAGATACACAATATTTTCTTCTGGAGACTCATTACTGTTTGGCAAAGAGGAATCAGAAGTTAGATGCCTTGAGGTTACCTCAAAGCTCCATCATCACTGAGGTCATTGCCATCTTCCCACTTGTTCTATGAGTAAACTTTGCGTGAACTAAAATTGCGTTATCTGATCATTCTTGCACTTACAAGGTTCTTATCTTGTACTATAGCAATTTCAGGAACCCTAAAAGGAAAAATGAACTCATTTGCAGACTGTTGCTCTGCATCTGTGTCCATAACTAGAAGATAAATTTGACATGGCACCCACTTCAATTTTGTATATTTATCTGATGTGGAAAGATCTGCATCTAATCCTCTATAGTTCCAGAAAAGAAATAGAACTCAGGTGTTTTGTGGACTATTGTCCCTAACCGGAAGTTAGGCTTAATATTGCATCCACTTTTGTTTTCTAAAACCCTCCGCTCTGCTTATTAAAAAATTAGTGACGTCAGTTTCTTCTTCTTGATAATTTAGTGACATCAATCACAGTTTCTGTCAAAGTTCTTCAGCCAATATAGCCATCCCGCCCTTTCCACTCTCGTTCCATCTCTTAACTTCTGAGTTTTGACTCATTTCTTTATTCAGTTTTGGTCCCATTTCAGTATTTGTTTTTGCGAAGTTTGCACCTGGACGTACAATGTTTCTAGGGTCTGTATGGTGCTATATATGTTGTCTTCAACTGACCCTATAAATTTTTTAGAGTTTGTATTTTTAATATGCTATCTGGCTAATATCATGGCCAAAAAAGGAAAAAAAAGTGCTGGAAATCCATCGCTTGACTACTAGACACACCTCTTTGATGTAACCAGGAAGGAAAACGAGAGACAATTAGACTCAAAAGAGTTAGTGGAGGGCACACTTCTATTCAACCCTAAATACTTCTGCTTGGTGGAATCACAAAGATTAAGTGTTAAAACATTTTTGAATAGTATAGTCACAAAGTGCAATCCTGAAGTGTAGGTAGCACTATGTTGGATGGCTAAATGCTCCCCCTCCCTTTGCCATTTCGTTCTTTTTCTGCATTCTTACTTGTTTGTATTTCAGGATCTAAATTGAATGTACTATTACTGGTATACTGAAACTGAAGTTCCGTCTTTGCAGGATCCTTCTATTGTTGCCTAGATCATATATATGAATTTGTGTTGGAGTTGCGAAGTTGTCTCTGTCAAATAGCTTGGGATTCCAATAACTATTTCCTGACATCTCGAAATAGGGATCCGGTATGCAGATTGCTGATCGTCAATACCAAATTCAAGCTAGTTTTCATTTGTGATGTAATTCTTTTCATTGGTTTATTTCTTCCCATCTTATTGTGGAGTGGAGTGGTGTGGTGAATACGAGGTTGTGTAATTCTTTTTAGTTTGTAAGCCTTTCAAGTCACGATAGGTTAGGAGCTTGTATTGGCATCATATCTTTCTTGGTGAGGTGAGGCCGAATTTTAGTACAAGGAAACAAAAACCAAGTATGATATTTTTGTATTTTTTTTTATTTCCTTACCAGAATTCCGGACTTGGCCATTGCTTCCAAGTCCCCTATTTCATTGGCAAGAAAAAACCCTTAAATATTACTCCTATTAACAACAAAAAAGAGGTAGCAATAATAGATCATTGATGGTTAATTACAAGCAATAGCAAAAAGCGAAAAGTAATAATGTACGTAACGGAGCACCCCTCCATATTTTTTCAACTCTCTTCTAACTAAAAATAAAAGATATCCTTGTGTCAATGTTATGCGATCTACATTTCGTCACTTAGTAATACAATTTAACTTTATTGTTCACATCAAATTCGTTATAAATTACAGAGAATACCCTCCGAGTGGTAGAATATTGTGAACCGTAATGCCCTATTACACATAACGCATGCATGCACAAAAGGTATACTGCAAATCATTAACGAAATTAACTAATTCCATCAAAACCACCCAATTGATCATCCATCTTCTCTTCCCAGCCATTTCCTCACCCCCCCCTACCCAATCCCCCAAAAAGAAAAAGAAAAATATTTCCCTCATTTCTCTACAGATTTCTACAATCATTTTCTGGTTTGATTTTTCTTGGAGCTTCTTGTGACAGCTCCAAGATAAGGTCAATCTATCTGCTAAAAATATTTGCTTTCTTCTCGCATGTTCAACCGACTTTTTGTTTAATTCTTGAATTTCAAGGAAAATTGAAGATTGAGAAATTATAATATTTTTCTTTGAGTGCATTTATTTTTTGTTGATCATGGTATCAATAAGAGCAAGTTTTGGATAATATGGGGATTCGACAAAGGTTGAGATTTTAATTCTGAGCACTATATCTTATGTTTATTAATTCTTGATGGGGAATACATGCTCGGGACCCACTTTGAACAAAGATTCAGCAGATTCATCAAAGACAGAAGCAAAAGGTTCTGATTCTGTTAGCTCTAATGTCCAGAACACCCCTCCTCCCCATCTTCAGATACCTGGAGATCAGCCTCAGGATGACAAATCAAGAAATTCCCAAAAGGGTGTCAAAGTGGAAGACACTAATAAAAACAGCAGTGCAAATGGAAATGATACCGTTACCAATAAGCCAGTGGAGGATGTGAAAAGAAACAAGTCTAGTAATCTTAAGCGAGTATTGAGTGCAGGGCTTCAAGTTGAATCTGTTTTGGGACGAAAAACAGGCAATTTGAAAGAAATTTATACTCTAGGAAGGAAACTAGGACAAGGGCAATTTGGAACAACGTTTTTGTGCGTGGACAAAGCTCAAGCAAAGGAATTTGCATGTAAGTCAATTGCTAAAAGGAAGTTGACAACTGAAGAGGATATAGAGGATGTAAGGAGAGAGATTCAGATAATGCACCACTTGGCAGGGCACCCTAGCGTTGTACAGATTGTTGGGGCTTATGAGGATGCTGTTGCTGTTCATGTCGTAATGGAGCTTTGCGCTGGTGGGGAGCTGTTCGATAGGATTATTAAAAGGGGGCATTATTCAGAAAAGAAGGCTGCTGAACTTGCAAGAGTAATAGTAGGTGTTGTAGAAGCATGCCATTCATTGGGAGTTATGCACAGGGACCTCAAACCTGAGAACTTCCTTTTTGTCAACGAGCAAGAGGAGTCGCCGTTAAAGACCATTGACTTTGGGTTATCTATGTTCTTTAGACCAGGTATATATTCTGCTTAAACAAAGTTTCCTAAGTACTTGTGCTAATCTTGTTCCTTGATCAGTCATCTATCAGGAACTTGCTGGAAATTGTTGAACTCAAATTCATCCGTGCAATAATAGATTAACTTGCATATCATTTGTTAGTTGTGTTATATGGACTAAACACACACTTAAAGCTTTAGTTAAGGATGTTTTTCAATCATCTTTTTCCACCGTTTATGAATGTGATAGTTTGTTGAGGACCTTCCTTTGTTATTTTTCTTTCCACAAGTTTCTATTGACCTTTCGGCAATGTATGTTAAGACTTTATCAGAAAGCCTTGCTTAGGCATCCTTTGGATGACAATACATACGTTTTGGAATTGGTTTCTCAAGATAGCAAAGACGCCTTTTTTACTCTTATACCTCTATTATGCAAAATATAACATAATTTTTAAATCCTTTTAATGAGGTTGCAATTTGAAAATTACTCCTGTGAGCTTTTAGTAGTCTTACACTGATATTACAAGGTCTCAAATCTCAATGCCAAATCAGGGGAGAGGAAGAAGTAGATGCAACTACATTTGATCAACACCCCAAAAATCCCCATTTCCTCGCTCATGCTTCTAACATCATAAATTCAGTTTTTACCTGTAATAGCATAGTTACTCGTCATGGACTTGCAGACAGGATCTCTTGAATTACTCCAGGTATCTGGGATCCTATACATTGACAAATCTGTTGCTATTTAATGACACTAAAGCCTGTAATTTCCTGTTACTATGATGTTAAAATAACCGAGAAATCATCTTCATATATTCCCTAAATTTCTGCTGCCTATTCTAGAAAGTGAACTCCTCATTTCTGGGGCATAAGGTTTGGAATCACAAGCTATATGCAATGGAAAATTGATTTCTACAGAGAAGTATATCATATTCTTAAGTTGGTCTAGATAGTTGGAGCAGTTTTGTTATAATTACAGCACCTGCATAAATTTCAGATTGGGAATATTTTTCTTCACTCATAGGAGCACAAAACTTGGTGTTGTGCCCCGTATCTATCAATTTTGTGAAGCTATGGATGTGAGAAATTTGCTGCTTGAAGAATTTTTGGACGTGCAGCTTCTGTTTACTGTAAAACCAGCAGAGCCCATTTCCTTCCAAACTAGTAGAAAACTCTGAATATCGAAAAAATCAACCCAAGAAATCTTACTTCCCACTCCCTGTGGGATCCTAGTTATCTAATGCTGATATAGTAGGCATTAAATCCCTGTATGTATCTACTTTGTTTAGTAAGGTCAATAGTTGCAGAAAAATATCCAATTTTCCTTGCAGTAGTATAGTTATCATTCATTTATGATTAAATGTAATTGCAGGATCTTATTGTTGCTGTCATCTGTTTCTTCTAGCTGTTGTAACTTGCTTTCTGACAACTGACCAAGAATAAAAATCTTTTTGCATCCAGGTGAAACCTTCACCGATGTCGTTGGAAGCCCTTACTATGTGGCCCCAGAAGTCTTGCGGAAGTGTTATGGTCCAGAATGTGATATTTGGAGTGCTGGAGTGATTATTTATATACTTCTTAGTGGTGTGCCTCCATTTTGGGATGGTGAGATTTTGTGATTTTCTTTCTTCACAATTTGTTTCTATAATTTTAAGCTAACGTGATATATTGATCATGTTGCCTAATGCTTGTTGATGTTTCTCTATCAGAAACGGAGCAAGGAATATTTGAACAGATTGTGAAAGGGGAACTTGACTTAGTATCAGAACCTTGGCCAGCTATATCAGAAAGTGCAAAAGATCTGGTCAGAAGAATGCTTGCGAGAGATCCCAAAAAGCGGGTTACAGCTCATGAAGTTCTCTGTAAGATGCAGTATTAACTAATTCAATCCTTTAATCTCTTGCATCCTTTTGTATTTTTGTATTTGGTGGTGAAATTTCTCATCCTTTATTCTCTTACATGGTCGTGCAGTCTGTATACTTGTCTGCTGAAACAGATTTTGACATACTTCTTAGGTCATTCTTAGGGTAGAAGTTAGAACATGGTTAAAATGGTTATTCTATTTGTTGCAGAAATATTGGTTGTTCCTGTTATCCTCTTTTGTTTTTCTTTTTTCCAATGTGTTTTGAAGAAATATGGGCAAAGTTTAAGTGAGAGAAACTGGAAATGCCAAAAGAAAAATATATTAAACACTGGATCTTGGTAGCAGTCGCGCGCTCACGCTTATTAGCTTTTTCTCATTGCAGCATCCGCTGTACTGTGAAACCAGATGTAGAAAATTCAACGGTTTGGACATTCTTTCTGGCTATACATGAAGTGACTTTCATGAGATAGAAAACAATGTTAATTTTGAACATCAATATTTACTTCTACACTTCAAAGCATAAGATCATTTAAAGGAAGGAGATGATGGACAGAAGCTGCAATTCATCTAATGCTAATGTTTGAGCAACTTCGTTTTCGGTGTAGAGTTTTGCCAACGTGTTGTCAGGTTGGACACATGATTAGAAGGTCTATGTGCCTAGCAACCATATTGGTTAACGAAATTGTGAAATATGAGGAAGATAGGCCTTCTACTTTGAGCTTCTGTGATGGATAGGATAATAGAGATTCTGACCTTTTACTTGACCTTCCTTGATGGATCGATTAATAGAGACTATGACATAGTAGTTGAAAAAGCATTCATAAATTGATAGAAACTCAACAGTTTCTTAACTTATCAGTGGCCTGAAGAAGTCCATTTATCTGTCTGTATATTTGGTTAAGTTCATTTGGATGCTCTTTGAATTGAATGAAAGACTGTTTACTATCTATTTCAGGTCACCCGTGGGTCCGTGTAGGTGGGGTTGCTCCAGATAAGCCTCTTGATTCTGCTGTTCTTACTCGGCTCAATCAATTTTCTGCAATGAATAAATTAAAGAAGATAGCAATCAGAGTAAGTTCCAATTCCTGGTACCTTTGATCACTGGTCTTACTTAGATTTAGTATTTCTCATTTTGACGATAGATAATCTTTAGTAGAAACAGACGTAAGAACTATATTTGTTCTTGAAAGAAAATGGTTTATGTTTGATTGTTTCCAATATATGTCTCACAATATTTTACTTCTAGCACTTCACATTTTTATTTGTATAATTTTGCCTTGAGATGAATTTAAACAGGAAACATGATTAGCGGTGATTCATGTAGCCGACCGTAACTTATTTGAGATTGAGGCGCAGTTGTTTGACCAAAAACAAAATATCCTTTCATATTACTGTTACCAACCAATACTAGGCTTTTATTATTGTGATTGACCAGTTCAGCTGTTTTGTTTAGGTTATTGCTGAAAATCTGTCCGGAGAGGAAATTGCAGGACTGAAGCAAATGTTCAAAATGATAGACGCAGATAACAGTGGACATATTACGCTAGAGGAACTGAAAAAGG